CCCGTTTCTACTAAAAAAAAAAAAAAAAAGAAAGAAAGAAAAAGAAAAAGAAAAAAAAATTAGCCTGGCATGGTGGCGGGAGACTGTAGTACCAGCTACTCAGGTTGCTGAGGCAGGAGAATGGTGTGAACCTGGGAGGCAGAGGTTGCAGTGAGCCAAGACCATGCCACTGCACTCCAGCATGGGTGAAAAAGTGAGACTCTGTTTCAAAAAAAAAAAAAAAAATCATTCTGATACTCTGCTACCTAGAGCAAAGGGAATGCAATCATTATGAAATCACAGATTTTAAAATATGTTTATGATGGGTTTTAATCCAGCACAGTTATTCTGATCAATGCCCAAAGTGTGCCATATTTGACCAAGGTAAGCCCTTCAAGCTGGATCTTTTTGCTATGGCTACAATGGGCTTGGTCTACTTCCTTGTTTGCTTTTAGGCATAAAAAGATGTTCCAAGGTCATCTAGTATATTCCCTGCCCCAAATTTTAGTCAGCCTTTTTTGAAGCAGCCCTGATTTCTCTGACTGGGAAATGGTATTTAACAGACATTAATCTGGGTACTAGGGAGTACCTATTATTATTTTGTTGCTTTTTTGTAACTATTTCTAGGTGGTACTCTCCTTCAGAAAATGCATATTTCCAATTCAGATTCAGGATGCATGGTTTTCACTTTGATTTTATAACAACTATTTTTTCTCATGCTGAAAAATTGGGTTCTAACAACATTAATATGTATTATCCTCTATATATATGCAATCATCTAAAAACAACATATTATGATCACTAAAATGATTGAAGTTTCAGATTTCTTTGCAATTTTATCTCCTTAAGATATTCCATTAAATAAAGTAAAATCACTGTGCTTTAAAGTCACCTGAAATTATTCTTCTATAATTAGGCAACTACCTGAAATACAGGTGTACTTGTGACATTCTGCTTTTGAATTTCAGAGATCGGCTTTATTTCCCACCCACTTCCTCCTACCTCCAATAGGTAACAGATAAACTGTATTAGTGTTTCCTTTACTCTACTCTTAAAAATGTAAGCAAACACATACACATCCCTTCTTCTTTGATATATGGTAGCATACTATGGATACTTCCTTCCACTTTGCTTTTGTCTCTCTAACAATACAACCTGAGATAACTCTAAAGCAGTATATAGAGATTTTCCCTCATTTTCCTATTGACATAGCTGGTTAATATTCTATTCAACCAATTTCCTATTAGGTTTTCATTATCAGTAAAGAGTACTGTACAGAATATACTCATACATAATTTTGTATTTCTGCTACTATATCTTTGGGTAGATTTCTATATGGGAGATTGCTTAGGTGAATGTTAAAAGCATAAATAATTTTGCTAGATATCACCAAATTTGCACCACTGCCCCACCCCAGGAGTTGTACTTTGATGTATCCTCACTAGTAATGTAAGAGAGTGCTTTTTCTGCCCCCAAAGCCTTGCCAATTTTGGG